GGTGACTTATATTTTTTTATGTTCATAGATTTATATATATATATTTTATTTTAAAAAATTCATTTTTAATATATGGTCATATGTTTTTTAATTTTTAATTGTTTAGTGTATATATCCTATTTTAAAATAAACGCTTTCTTAAAAAAATATTGCCTGTGCCAAGAAGTTAATAAATTTTTAAAATATTAAAATGAATCAAAGCCTATAACCTCAACTCAACTGATGATTTTATCAAACTCAGGATTTTCATATTTAAAAAGCCACTCTGCCAACCCAACAGTATCCTACATCCTATATCCATGTCATTAATTTACTTTGATCCAGAAATTATCCAAAGATACATATAGATTCTCCACAATACGACCCATCATACAAAAATCATCAAAATTACACCCACGCTAAATATTCCATACCTATATGTATTACATGCAACCCTGAAACATTCCACCAAATAATGTCCACAAATTGCCAAAGAAACTTACCAACCATTCCTTTGACTCAATCAGATAATAATGATGAAAATAATTCTTTCTATCATATAAATTTTTAAGACAATTTACCTAATTGATTAATATTAATATTTTAAAAAAATAAATTTTATTTATAAACATTCCTCAGCCATCTAACCCCCCCCCCCTTCTCCTCTCCAATTTGAATACACATTTTTCGATCATATAGATTTTAAGTTAATTTGTATTATATATTTTTTAAAGATCAATTTCATTTTAAACATTACTAAATCTTTTAACCCTTAATATTTATGAATCATGATGCAACAAAATAATATTTATAATTATTTTATTTTTATTTTTAAAATAACAATTTTGGAAATTTGGAAATTTAGAAATAGGTCATTCATCCATATATTTCTTCCACCCCCCCCCCCTCCCTTTTAAGAAAAATTTTTTTTTTCTTCTTCTAAAATGATGTCAAGCATTTGTAATGGTTGTCATAGAAATGTAACCTTGACCCAGGCAATTTGTTTTTATAAGCATGGGTAACTTAAAACCATGTATAAACTCTGATAAACCCCCTACAAATGAAATTTTGAACAACAAAATCGAAACCACCCCCATTGTAACTCAAATTTTTATCCTGATTTTTATGATAATTTTTTAAAGTGAGAAAAGCCACCAACCTAACATCACCTACCTTTTAAATCAAGGTCTTTAATTTCGAATTTTTTAGCAACACTTATTATGAAAGTTAATTCAAATTTAAAATTCCCTTAAAGCATGAGAAATTTTTTTTAACTTTTCCTTTTATTAATTAAACCTACAGATAAAAAAGAAACTTCTTTACATGATTTTATTAAAAATAGAATTGACCATTTTTATGCCCTAGTGGATAATTATGTATCTGATGTAAGAGCTACTTCTGATTTTGCCCACAAATGTAAAATAATCTTCAAAAAAATAGATCAAGAAAACTTATGTGGAGCCCTCAAATTGGTTTCATCTAATAAAAAATTGGCCCCGTTTGATGAATATACTTTCACTCTATTGAGATAATTGCATTTTCAGGCTTTTGCTGGATCTTCCCACTACTATAAAATCTAATTCAATCGAAATTGGCAAGGAAGAACTTGTTAAAACAGTTTTATCTCTGAATAAAAACTCAGCAGGGGGAATTGACGGTACCTTTTAAATTCGGCCTTGACAGCTTGGATATCTTTAGCTATACCTGAAGTTCCCACAATTTTAACAGTTCAATCAATTTTCGATCTTTATTTAAAGATTTTTAATTCTTTCATTAAGCCCCCCCCCCCTTATTTGGTCTATATTAACTATTACAAAATGCTGACTGTGCCAGTGATTATGATAAGCATTCCCAAGCAAGTAACTTAGGTAACTTCTTATCAGATGAACAATTAAGAGTTGTCATAGACCATCGAATTAGATGTAACATAGTTCAACCACATACAACATACATCAAATGATAAAATATTAGTTGATTCCAAAGGGAGACATGTCTTAATTGTGTATATATAGTCAAGGCAGAAATGCAAGACATGCAGCAATTAATTCAGTTATTAGCCGTTCCCTTACTAGGTCCAGATTACTAAACATCCTGAAGCCTGCTAATTTATCATTAGATGATTGCTTAAGACCAGATAGTTTAACTTCTGTGCCTCAGTTTTTAGGTAAATCCTTAATTTGAGACGTCACATGTATGTCTTCATTTACAAAAAATTTAAATTCTGTCCCGGTTGATATAGGGTTGATATAGCCGAGAAAAAATACAATTAAATCCAAATTAACAAATTATATTTTATTTTATTAATTGTTATCTCTTCTCTTGGACATATGTCAGAAACTTTACAATTTTTTTAAAAATAGCCGGCAAAATTAGAGCCCTTACATCAGAACCTAAAGAATATTATTTTTTTAAAACAAAATATACAAATTTGTATTTTAAAATATAATTATTCATGTTTTTGGGGAACCTGTAGTCCCACCTCTGTTTTTATAGAATGAATTTTTTTTATAATTTATATATATATTTTTTTTAAAGAATTATTGTAAATAATTTTAAATATTTTATATAGCTTTGATATATACGTTATTTTATAAATATTTTATGTTATTTTTAAATATATTTCTTCTATTTTCATAACAGGGTTATTTTAATTATGTTCATTTTATAAAACAAATTTGAGGGCCATTTAAACAATCTGGGGAAAAATATAAAGAAAAATTAACTTAGAAAAACCAACTAATGTTTTAAAGGTATTATCGCCATTTTTTTTATATATCTCAAAGAAAGTTGATTACATATAGAACTTAGAGTTTCGCATAACAAATGTATAAGGAATGAGATTACGATTAATATAACACTATAAGTCAATTTAGAGGATTTTTTTTCATTTTCTCTAGGCAATGTCAACTGGATTTGAATAAAACATGCCATCTGGCCTCGGGTCATTATCTGATTATAAATTAGCAGGTTGTTTGGCATTATAGTTCCCAGTAAGATTAAGGCTAATTATTGAGTATTTATTTTTTAGAAAATAAATATTTTTTTTAGATCTTCGGGTGTGAATACAAATCCTTATAGTGTACATAAATTGAAAGTTTCAACGCAGAGTATCAAAACATGTCTAAATTGAGCGTTAATTTTTATTATTCTTTCAATATGAAACGTATATATTCTAAAACGAAACAAATATTTGGCCAATATTTAAATAACAGGAACAAAGAAAAGAAGAGGTATAGAAAAACATACTAATAATATATGTTAAAAGAAATCTATTTCCTAAATATATTAATTTAAAAGGGGTTTTGACAAATTCCCAAATTTTAAAATTATAGAAGGATAGGAACATCAATTTTTTCATATCTCGTTAATGTATGGACATAAATCCAAAAATTACTAATAGTAACAAGTTTAAATTAATGCTGAAGGGACAGATTATTTGTTATTTCGAGGTAAAATAAATGTAATATTAATAATCATTAATGTCTTTAATCACTGGTGTATCCTTCCTTTGTACAATTACCATATAGTTCAAGGTTTTTCAATCCTGTATAGCCATTATTGTAAATTCAGTGTGCACAGAAATGTTAATGCTACTGTATATATACATATGCTTAGCTCTAATAAAAATGATTGGGGAAGAGTAAATTTATTATATAAAATAAATATTCATTTTTTATATCTTTGGATTTCACAGCAATTCATTTTTAATCAGGATTCCCAAAATTTATTGGGGCAATAGATAGTAAACATATCTATGTAAAGAGCCCACCCTGGTTCACAATATTTTGCCTATAAACTTAGATTTTAAATTAACCTGTAAACCTTAGCAGATATGAGAAAATTTATTTTTATAGATGTTGGAGCATTAGCTCTTTATATAGAGGTCACATTAGATTAATTTTAATATATTCTAAAAAAAAAATATAATTGGAGAATCATAGATTTGACTTACCTCACATATGCCTTTTCCAGTTTTTAATAGAGCTATGTCATTTATAATGGTTTGGGATAATGCATTCCCTTTATCAAATTATCTGATGAAGCCTTACCCCAAAAGTAATATAACATCAGTGGCGGGTCTTCAACATGAAGTTATCTCATGTTGTAAGCGTAGAAAGGCAGTTGTGGTGGAATTATCAAAAATACCAGCTTCTGAGTAGGCCATTTGAAATTAGTCTTTAGAAATAGTTTTAAAATATGTATCTTACATATTTGTTGTGATTAAATATGAAATCTAATAATTAAAGCATTCATTTAATAAATACTTAAAAATTATAAAATCAAATTTATATATAATAATAGTTTTATAAAAAAATCGTTCAAGGGTCTCTCAAAGTAATTTATTTTTAGTTAAGGGGGATAATAAAGACGCTAAAAAAAATTTTTTTGCTTCAGAGGGGCTCTTCAAATGTTTCTTGGGGCTCGAGGTTTGTGCCCACCCCTAGTGATGCTACTGCTAAATACCATATAAAAATTAAAACAAATTTAATGAAGGTACGAGCGCCATAACTTCTTATAGGAGAATGCTGAAAGGTGCTAATTTATTTTGAAAAGGTATATAAATATATTTACAATTTTACAATTGGTGGGGGCATTTGACGGACCTTGCAATTTACCGGCCTTTGTGCTAGTTTATTGCCATAAATTAAGATAGTTTAATGCAATGAATTATAAAATATATTCTCTAATCAAAATTATATCTAACTCTAATACAAATGTGGAATCTAACTCAATAACCAACATACCAAACAAAAATTTTAAAATAACTCTCTAAAAATGACTTTTTTTGCTCTAATACATTTATTTTAAATTAAAAAGTATGAGCTTTTCTATTAAAATTAAATTGATGAATTCGGGCTATGGAGAATTATCAAATTCTTTTCAGAATAGAACATAAATCTGCCTGCTATATGATTATATTTTTTTAAAATAATATAAATTAGCTGTGATTATAATTCGTTTATTATAGTCATATGGTGTTGTTTAATAATAACCTTTTTATTCTATTCTTATTATTCTATAAATGTAAGCACCCATCCTCTCTCATATGGTTAACGTTATTACCATTTCACTCCCTAAAAATAAACATTTGCTTCTTAGTGCCACCCAATTAGCCAAAAAAATAACTGAAAGAGAAGTACTATTTTATTAAACTTTATAATTAAAAATTTACATCTTTGATCTTTTGCTGAAAAACACTCTTAAACCATTTTTAAATTCAACTTAAGATTAAATGTCTTGCTCTTGTTGAGGAATATATTGAGAGAATCAAAGAAGTTCAACCTGTTATAAATGCCCTAGCTGAAGAGAATTTTGATTATGCCTTGAAAGAAGCGATTAAAGTGGATGACTTTTTACAAAATGAAACTTCTCACCCATCAGACATTTTAAGGCAAAAACCATTGTTAGGAGTTCCTATCACAATTAAAGAATGCTTTGCAGTCAAAGGTATTTAAATATTTCTTACTTGAAAGTATAGTTGGGTAATGAAGGAGATTTGGCTAAATCTCGCATCAAATTAATTTATTTTTGCCTTCTTTAAAATTGATCAAAATTTTCAATCAAATCTTGGGCATTGATAATTTTTTAGCTGGCTTAGAGTAACCCATTTATACAATAACAAAAATACTAGATTATTAAAATAAAATATAAATTTTGCAACACTCATAAATTATTTTTTCATTAATAATTCTTTTAAATTTATGCTATTTGCTGTCTATTATGATTTTCTTAATTATTATATGAATGTTATAGAACTCATATCAATGATATGAATATATTTTTATTTAGTATAAAAAAAGAAGATAAATTTAAATTATTTAAAATGTAATCTCACTAACAGGAATAAAAGTGAAATTTCTTAGATCTGGCTTGGCTGGTTAATTTAATGAATCTTTCTATGTCCATCAATCCTTTCAGAAACAATTACCAATCCACTCTAGGTAATAATAAAATTTTGGAAAAATTTATTTAAATAAAGAAATAGCTCAATTTTTATTGCTTTTTTTCATGTTTTGCTACAAATAAGTAGCCTATTAATTTATGGAAATATAAATTATTTTCATTATTTTTATTCCTATTTTTATTTGAGATGAAAAGATTTCAATTTAGAACCTAAACATCCAAAAAAATATCAACACTCAATAAAATTGAGATTCCCCACTTATGAAAACTAGTTTTTTGACCATTTTGCTTAAAAAAAAGAAGCCTGGTATTCCAAAATATGCTTGTTTACTCTCTTTTATTGATGAATATTTCTTTTAGAAATTTCATCCATCCTAACTAAAAAATATTTTGTAGAAACTAAGATAAGTAGAATCAGACTACTTGAAAAAAAAAACTTAATTCTAGTTCCATATCTTTATCAAAACCCCAAGCTATTTTATGCTTTTTCTTTATAAAATAAATGGGATCAAGTGTCTCCTTAACACTAATTCTAATTTAAAAATTAATTTAAAATAAAAAATTTGATTCTGACATTGTGATCCTGTAAAGTTATTATGATTAATTAATCTAATGCTGTAAATAAAGCACAAGCACATAATTTATTGTTTTTTAGATAGCATTGTTTATTAAAATTAGAATTAAATCATCAATATTAATGGTTAAATAAATATATATATATATCTTAAATCTAAATAATTGCAATCAATAACACATGAAGATAAAACTGCCAATAGTAGGGATGGGGACCAATAGTAAAACCAAAAAAAATATCTTAATTGTAAAAATTAAAGACAAAGGGGGGGGGGGATTATTCTAAAAGAACCAAAAGCAACAACATAATATTTTACTATCAATTTTTTTTGTTCAGCAGCAGTTTTTATAATATAAACCATGTTATGACTGACACGGATCTGTCAAAAACCCGCAAGTGTTATTTACCTCATTTTTTTACCCAGAATTTAGTAGAATTATAATAGTTAACTTAGTTTATATTTTTTTAAAAAGAGTCAATCATGAAACATAATCGAAATATTTAGGTCAGAATAATTAACGCTCATGCTAGAACCTTCGCTTGCTTATAATGTTAAAAGATCGCAAACCAAAAAAAATGGCATTTTCAAAACATTCGGATAATTTTGGGCCATACATACATTAAAAATTATCTTCTGGTTTACTCCGTATTAATTTTTTGAAAGGTTTTTATATTTTAAAGGAAATCAGATTTAAACATTTTTGTTGAGTCGTTTAATACCTAATTATAATCATTTTAACCTTGGATTCAAACATATATAATTTTAAAGAATTATATATTCTCTGAAAAGATAAAAATTATATGAATTCCTTGCAAGAATAATTGGAATCATTTGCAATTCCGTTTGTTATTTCTAGAATATTCCAATTAAAATAAAGTTTTTTTAAAATATTTTGTTACATTTTATATGATATAATATTAAATTAAATTTATATAAGAATTAAACAAACTAAGAATAGTTTTTTTTAGTGCCCACCCCCCTTATTAATCCTATATCTGGGTAACAAGATTTTTCCAGCTTACGTTCTTAATGGACGAGCTTTTAAAGCATTTATTTTAGGTCCGGCCCGGGTATATTTAAAAAAACGGCTCGGCCCATATACCCGGGCCGGGCTTAGGGTCGGGCCTGCAGGTCCGATATATAAATAACATTCCCCCTATCGTGATTATTATTATTGTATTTTTTTTTATCTTTATGCAAATAAAATCGAGTTATTTGTCATTGAATAAAAAAAAAATTACTTCCATTTTATTTTTGAATTATTACTTATTTTATTATTAATTTTTTTAAAAAAAATGCAAAGTCCATTCATTATATATATGTGTCATTTGACCAAAAAAAAAAAATGTTAAAATTTTCATATGTTTTAAATTAGATCAGGGTCACAACTACGAGGACATTCGGGGAGGGGCCAGGGTGCCCCGCAAAATATGGTCCTCTAAACAAAATATTGCAAATGGCGTCACCTAAGAATTGAAAAAATATATATAAAGAATATATATTGCTAAGGCGTTTTATCTATTATACATATTATTTATATTATTTGTATTTGCTATAATATTTCGTAATTTTTATTTGCGCAATCTCCTGCTAATCCAATCGAAATTACTCTTTTTTTTAAAAAAAAAAAATCCCATTCTCCCCAGATCCTGGAGGAAAAAAAAAGATTTCTAATTGCTATACATTTATTTTTAATAAGTAACGAAAATTTATTGCTAGTTAAGTTATGAATAATAATTTTCATCGTGATATTTTTTAATTGACATTTCGATTTATAATTTTATAAAAAAAATTATTATAGATTATATGTTTCAAAAAAACAAATATTCTGACATTTTGTCAGTTATGAACGATTTTCTATGGGGGACAAATGGTCTGGTCTCTCGTGGGAAATGCGCATAGTTAATATAGTAAATTCCTCGAGTACAGAGATACGAAGCCCGGGCTGGACCAATACTTCGTTAAAAGTGTACAACAATTAAAAACAGCTGGAAAAATTTAAAGTAAAGAAGTAACGTTTTTGCGTTACCGTTACTCAAAAAAAAAGAAACGCGTTACCGTCACTGGTTATCTCTTAGAAAAAAATTACGAATAGCGTTCCATTTATTAAAAAAAAATTAGCGCCTTTAGTAACGACGTTACTTTTTTGACGTTACTTTACACCACTTATTTCAAATCTTAAACATCTTTTCTCACCATTAGGTAAATGCCGTCTATAAAAATTATATATTAAATTTTGACGCCTATAATAATATTTAACATCTCGTATTTTATATTTAAAATGATTGACATCCTACCAACCTATATATCCTAAAGTAAGATGCATTTCTCTCAATTTTCCTTACCCGTCAATCAAACACGAGATTTAAGTTGCGAAAGATTTATATTATTAGTGTAAACAAAAAAAATTTTTCTCTTCTTTCTTTAATTTACACTTTTCTCATTTATAAGAATTTACTTATTTTTTTCACGCATTCACGAATTTTTAAAACATAAAAGTAAATTATAATAAATATAAATGTACATAATTAGTAATAACGTCAATCTTTACCAGTTTCTATTTTACGCGTTTATTACTTGTAAAGGCCTTATATGAGCCGTGGTAAATGTATACGGAATAACGGATCGAGGGGGTAAAACAGTAGGTAGTCATATTTATAAAAGGTAATCAAACCCAGGCGTAAATCCTCTGGGAGTGACTGTAGTAACTCCCTTTCGCGATCGGAATAATCGCGGGGAATTTTCTTATTCTTCCGTAAATCGATCAAGGTACGCGAATCAGCATCGCTCAGGTTATTCGAACTTATATTATGATCGCCGCCACCTTCGCTAAAAGAAAAATATTGTTTAAATGGATTGTAATCCAGGGTGTCCCATCCCGTTAACTCCAGTATTTTCTTCACATCCTGGACCAGCGATTCTTGTTTTCCGATAAAGTCTAATCCACGGCTGCACGGAGCGCAAATATCCGAATAGGGTCTCCAATGTTCGTTCATGAGGTACTCCCTCAATCTTTCGTTCCTCAAGTAACGAATATTTAAAAGGAACTTGACGAATTTCAAGAAAGTGACATTTCCATTATTATTATCATTAGACTGCTCTCTCGTTTTAAATCCCGCTTTAAAATTCTTGCCACCTATTTCGCTCGAATTACTTGAAGCTAGCAATTCTATGTAACTACCATAACGTGCTATAAAATACTCGTTCTTCCATTCGAACTTGCTTCTGTAGGCCGATATTAGTCTGCTTATGGGATTTCTCACGAACATAAATTTTAGGTATTTTCTAGATTCATAGTTATCATCACTCATGACGAGATTCGATAGTATTTTAAACTTAAATCCTTCTACGTAGTGTCCCAAAGAATCATTGGGAATCATAGAAGATTCGAGTAACGTTTTGTAGGATAAATTATTGGAAACCATGAAGAAGCTCTTCCAAGAAGTCGAGGAAGCCTTAGGCACGTAACAATACATTATCCCCCTGGCCTCGTCTACGATTTGATGGGATCGAGCGTAATCATTCATCGCCGAGTATAAAGGCGATATCGTCGAACAGGCGTGTTTGAGCCAGCCTATTCTATCGAAACCCAACGTTTCTTCGCTCAAATTAAGGTGTTCATCAGTGTTGTATCCCGATACGTTATATTTCGTTTTAAGATACTCGAAATATCGCATCTATTTTTAGATGAGATAGATTTTTTTTTTAAATTAAAAAATATATATATTATTTACCTCGAAATTCTTAATATTTGACGAATAATCATATGGATTCAATTTTCGCAAAGAATTTATATAATCTATATAAAAAAAATAAAGAAGGAACTAAAATTAATTTCAATAGAGTTTGAATTGTCAAATTTATCGATATTATTTATTGATTAGAAAAAAATAAATAATATTAATTAATTTGTCATATTTGAGTGTTGTTAAATGGCTCGTTTTGAGCCGATTTTTAAAAAAAGAGACTAACTCAGTATTTCGTCCAGAGAAAATATTACGCAAACATGAAGATTTTGCTCATAGAAGGAACAAAGGTCCTAGACATATATTATCGAAATGTCGAGGCTTAGGCAATATTTTTCTGGCTATTGAGTTAGCAAAATGAGTCGTTTTTAACAACACTAGTCATCATATTTTTCTTACTTTTGTAATTTAGGAATTCGAAGTACACTACAATAAATGAACAGAATAAAAATGCCCATAGCAGATATCTTTTGAATTCCGAAATGATCATCGGAGAAAATTTTCCAAATTTATTATTATATTATTTTATTCTTATTAAACATTGCTTACTTAACATAAATTTTTTTACTAGGAATAAAATAGTTTTATTGACTCAAATCAAATATAAAAACAAATTGCCAAAATAAAATATATTAATTTTTTTTTAAAAAAATAAACATAAAACATTTTTTTTCGTGGAATCATTATTTTGTAAAGTCGGCAAATTTTCTTTTAAAATTTTTTTTAAATTTTACCCAGCAAGGCATAAATCGAAACCCCATTTTCTAAAAAAGAGGTCCGAACCCGCCCTTGGTCCTAATTACCCCGAGTTCGATGGGTTAGCCCTAAAATCGGTCCCTGCTTAGTCTGCGGTCTCAAAATGCCACCCCCCCCCCCAACAATTTTAAATTTCTGAACCCCCGATTATGGTTTACAACCCCCCTGGCTTTGAATCATTTTCTGAAACCCCGTGAATTTCAGACAATTTATTTATATTCGTTTTCATTGCCGAAATTCTTAATTTAAACTAGAGATCTGCAACAGGCCCGAACGGGCTTCGGGTCAGGCCGGACCTAAAAAGAAATCGGGTTCGGGTTTGGTCGGACCTAACATTTTTTAAAAATATTCGGGCCGGGCCGGGTCGGGTCGGGCCTTGAAAATTTTTTTTTTTAATGTACTATAAATTTATCACATTTATATTGAATATTTTAATGTAAAATAAAAATATTTGATTTTATGTATAGAAAATAGACGCCATATAACACTTATTTTTGAGTAATTATGAAAATTAATTTCCTATATTTAAACAAATTTGGGCAGTAAAAACGGCTAACTCGACCCTTCATCCGAAAAAATATGACCCAAGCCTGTTGCTCATAGAAGGAACAAAGGGTCTTGACATATATTATCGAAATCTTGTAGCTTAGGCAATATTTTTCTGGCTAAAATATTGAGTTAGCCGTTTGTAAAAATCGGCTCTAAACGAGCCTTTTAACAACACTAAAACAAATGCCAGATTTAGTACATTTTTGATAATCATGCTTTGTGGAAATATCACTGATTATTAATCCTTTTCTTGTTCAAACCAGAAAATTTTTGAAAGGGCTTTGATATATGAATCAATATTTGAGAGAAATATAATTTTATAATCGAGTTCCCAAAAAGGAACCATAATTATGTCTAAAAATTTCTACTTGAATTATTTTGGTGCATATATAAAAAAAAATTTTTAAGCTTCGATCGTAAAAAGTGGCTAGGTTTTAAAAAAAAAAACTTATACTTTAAAATGGCGTGGTGTTTTAAAATATGTTTTAATTTAGAGGAAAACAATTTTCGATAAAAATTTTTTTATTGATTCTTTCACTTGTATTCTTAAACTCTTTCGAATGACTGTATTGTGATTTGCAGAGTTGTTAAACGCTACTTTTAAAAGTAGCGCGCTACCGCTATCGCTATTTGTTAAAATAAAGTAGCTCGTAGCTTTAGTTACTTTTTAAGCTACTTTTTATAAAAAAAATTTACAAACAAATTTTTTATTTTTTGCTTATAATGTTATTGTATAGTAATTATATAAAAATCAACATTTATAAATATTTAAAATATAGTTAGTTTTGATTATAAAAAAATTTATGTAATAAAAATAAATATTTTTAGGTAATTTGTTGCATTTTTATAATAATCATTTCAATATTATCATCCCCAAGTCTAGAGCGACGATCAGAAAGTATAAGTTTTGCCTTATTAAATAATCTCTCGACACTAGCACTTGAGGGTAAGGGCGTATTTAATCTTATATACATATTTTTAATATAAGATGTACATCGTATGTCTGGCATCTTATTATCATTTTGAGGGCTAATGCCACAGATCTTCTTTTTAAATTTCTAGGTCTAGCCAATGGCCTGTGATTCCCAAATAAGCTCAAAAATATTTAATCAGATCAATTTATAAATATAAATAAGTTTTTACCTTTTGTTATGTGTTCAACTATCTCCCGTGGTACATATATATGATATTTCTGATAACTCTACTATTAGCATCTTTCATCATTTTAAAGTTCTTTTTAATTATTTACTAACACCGATTTGTATGACGTAACACGATTTCTATATTGAACACCATCGACGCCATGAATGAATGTTTTAATTTATACAAAAATTATTCATGCCATGCATTTATCTTACATTCTCAAAATTAGGTTTATGCGAAAACTCAAGTCGGTGTTCCGTTTGTTTATAAATGATACAAACAATTTTTATTTTTTACCAAAAAAAAAATTTAACACGTGATATCTCTGCGCCATCATGGTGGCATCCGATCCCACACGATTTCGCAGCTGTTCAATTTTTTTAAATCTGTTTTTATGAGGGAAATCTATCTTTCTTAGATTGTTGTCGTTAATAGTATTAAGGATAAAATGAATATTGATATCCAATAAACAGATTTTAAAAATCGGTCAGCTGTTAAATCGTGCGGCCTCAGAGATATTGACATGAACTGCGGATCAGTTGTATCAAGTTCGAATCCAATCTTGGGACAAATAAAAAATTTAGGTTCGATTTCCCCCCCCCCCCGCAAAAACGAATTTAATATTAAACAGCTGACTCGTTCGGCGATATTAAACGTCCTTATTTCTAAGTTTGATTACAATGGTGAGAATGCGCGTCTACAAATTGTATCAAAAATAAGAATAAACCAATCAAATCTTTCTAATTCCGGAATTCGCATAATCCGACCAAAAACGCGGCTAAAGGCTAATATTTAAAAAAAAAACGTAACTCTTATTTGAATCATACAGTATCTTTAAAATGGCTCGATTACTTAATAACTGCTTACCCAACATTTTAGCCAAAAAACGCGAGCCTGAAGATTTTGCTTAAAGATGGCAGAAAGGTTCGGACATATGCTTGTCTCTATTATTTTATCTAAAGTCTACTAAATCGAGCCAAAATAAATGACAAATCAATGCGCTATATATTTTTTTATAAGGGCCCATAATTCCCCGGTAAAAGGGTACGGTTTTAAAAAAATAAAAACCATAAACACGAGGACCTAAAAATAGTGATATTGCGCTAAAACCCGGACCTGACCGGATTTTTTTTAAAAAAAAATAAATTTAGGTTATATCGTTGGTTGAGAAAGTCGTATAATGCTAGGGTTTTGCATCCCTAATTTTAGATAGAAATAACAAGACGATAAATTTAATTTTAAATCTTAAAACGCTTTTATTTGTTCGCGCCCTATTTCCTTTCCCGCTTTATTCATCCTTTGAATTATATTTTTTGCCTCCATTATTTACATATATATATATATTTTAAATACTATAGGTCTCCCAAACTCTTGCGGCGTATACAACAGGCGAGACCATTTGAGTCAATCTACCGCTCAAGCCGTTAGCGCCTTAATAGGGTCGGGCGCCATAGTGATAGCTACTAGCTCAATGCCCGAACTCGGCCTTTGGTGGGAGACTTACAACACCATACGGGGCCGAACTCGCAACCCCTATGACGTCACCATGATAACCGGTGGCTCCTCTGGTATGTAAATAAATACGCTCCTTAAATTATTTTTTTTTAAATTTTGTAAAAATACGCGAATAACTTATATAGTGATCGCGACTTGCTCAAGCGATGCGAAATTTTTCGCTGCTTAATTTGAAAAAGCATGTTAATAATAAGTGGTATAATTTATAAATACGGAGCGAAACGATGAAATCGCTACAGCTGTTTACGTATATATCAAAAAAATGGATTTTAGCTGCGACGTTTGATTCATGGCTTTTCACCTGCTGATTTGTGTTAATACATGCACTTAAATGAATAAATCGTCAGCAATGTTATATGTCATTGTAGGCTAACACCGGCTGTGGCTCAACGCAGATTGTTGACCTCTTCATTGATATTTTTAACCTTTTTGTGAATAACCTTAAAATAATGAATTTATACTTTGTTATTTTTTTCTTATAATTATTATTTATGGTAGGCGGAGAAGGTGCCCTAATAGCTTCCGCGGCGTCCCCTTTAGGCCTAGGTTCAGACGTAGGTGGTAGTATTAGAATGCCCGCCTTTTTCAACGGGATCTTCGGCCATAAACCAACAGCTGGTATAAATAATTTTATTCTTCCAGAAATTTATAATATAATGTATTTGATTATAAGTTATCATTCATTCATTATTAAGAGGTGCTCCTAGACAATTTTTTGAAAGAGATGACGGATAAAAATAAATAACAAAATTATTATAAACAGCACATTCTAACTAGTTTTAAATGGCTGGATTTCACAGCCGATTTTTCAAAAATGGCTGACTCGATATTTTAAGAAAAAAATATTGCCTAAAGTCTCGAGATATCTCTAACAGAAGCCCAAACCTTTGTGCCCATATATAAGAAAAATCTTCAGGCTGCTTGCTTAATATTTTTCTGGAATCGAGGCATTTAAAATCACTAAATATTAACGCGCTTTAATAAAATAGGTATAGTTTCCAACGAAGGCCATTACCCGCCGGCCACGGGCGACTTAAACCGATATTTGGTTACCGGCCCGTTAGCTAGGAATAGCGAAGATCTATTAACCGTCATGAAAATTTTGACCAAGAATATACCCGAAATAAACGGAGATTTGCTCAAACTGGACCAGGAAGTAAAAAAAAAATTATCATTAATAGAATTATAAATTGTTTGAATATAAAAAGTTGGCTTCTAGCGCTGATTTGCTTAGTTTATTTTCGTATAATTTTTTGAAATCTGAGTAAATATACTACACATAACTCGGCTTCGGTTTTTTCAAAAATCGTCTTTATGTTTTTAAGTCGTCCAAGAACGGGGCAGGAGGTGTACACAGTGGCTCGAGCCCTTTGAAAATCATTTTGAGCCCCCCTGAGATTGGAAAAGCTAGTTGAACTTTTTACGACCTAACTTTAAGAGCTGTAAGAGACGGCTAAACAGCCTATTGTTTGGGAAATATGGATGAACCAAGATCACTGCCTCTAGGCTGGTCTGCCTATAATCCGAATTAAAATAGTGACGCAACCTTTCGTAAAAGCAGAACATTGAGATAGAATAAAACAGTATAACTTTTAATCCATACATACTAATGTTTATTTTTTTTTAATTTAAAGGTCGATCTACAAAATTTGAAATACTTTTCCTTTTGCGATGATATGATGAGGCCCTGGGTGTCCAAAATTTGCCCACAACTCAGGCACGCCCAAGAACAAGTAATAGAAAGAAAGAAAAAAAAAGCTTAGATATTTGGAAAAGAAAAGATAAGGATCCAGGAAAAAATCATTTTTGTATTCCGTTCCGGAACGCTGCCCCTGCGTCATTTGAATGAGGGGTGTTATTGGGGATTCAATCCCCCCCCCTCAAAAAGATCTAGGGATATCCATGAATCATTTACATAATTGATACTGTCATTTTAAATATACCGAATTTGTTATAGCATAATTTAGATTAAGATTTTTTAAAAAATATATATATATGTATACATTCGAAAGGTCGTTAAACACATAGAGACGCGGTTTGGAAAACGGGTGGAAACGTTGAAGATCCAAGATTTCCCAGGCCTGAATAAGGCTTTCATCCTGTGGATATCGGCTTTGGAAAAATGCGGGGGACCACCCTTCTCGGAGATTATCACAGGATACGAGGGGAAAGCCAGTGCCATGACCGAACTCAGCAAATGGCTCCTGAAAACCAAAAATTCTCACACTTTCCCTTGTGAGAGCTAAATTGACATAAATATATATTTTTTTATAAAAAATGTAAAAATTTTTTAGTGGCTAGGTTTTCCATCATAAACTATTTATTTTATGCAGAGATGTTGATATGTACGATTTTTGGTAATAGGAATCATGGTAAGTTATTTCACCATTTTCCAAGGATTATAGTTAGATTAAAAAATTTGGCTAATTCCGCTCAATTTACAGAGGTATGCCGAAAATCTTTCTTCAATGGCTGAGCTATATTTTCAAAAAAATAAACGAGGGTGGAGTGTTAGCTTTCAGCTAAAAACTTATCCATTTTTTTTTATATTTTAGTTGGTTATAAATAGAGAGATTACTCAACTTATGCTAAGGATATAATTTTAAAAATAAATACATATTTTATTCATCTTCTAATTATTTAAAATTATGAATTTGCCATTCTGCGAACTCTAATTTCCAAAAAGGTGTGACCTTTTTAGCCCAAGAAGCCTTGCTCAAGCACTTTGTTTCGCCAAAGATTTCTCAAAAATATTGTGACCAACTGCAGGATTTGAAACAGCAGCTCACGTCCACCTTGGGCTCTGATGGCGTCCTCATATTTCCTTCCCACCCTCTCTACCATTACAAGCACAGTGCCCCTTTCCTGACCCCCTTTAATTTTATTTACACAGCTATCTTCAACGTTCTTGGCTTTCCAGTGACCCAATGCCCATTAGGTTTTAGAAAAAAAAATATACTTTGTATAATATAAAACTTTGCCTTCTTTAAATTAACTCGTAATATTTTAAAAAAATTAACTTTGTAATAGGTACTTGGAGCAAATTCTCACAAAGGTTTCCCTCGACTGACAAAACACTCTCGAATCTTAGAAAGAACAAGAGCAGTAAAAATATGCCGCTAGGTGTGCAGTTAGTAGCTGGGAATTACAATGACCGATTAACATTGGCCCTCTCTCAAGAATTGGAAAAAACCTTTGGTGGTTGGGATTACTCACCTTTTATCAGTGAAACATTGTCTTGTTTAAAAAAATGATTGGATAAAAAGGCACAATAATAGAAATCTACTATCCTCCTATTAAGCAGTAAGAAGCAGCAAAAGATACGATTCAACAACAATGATTTTTGCATTTCTAATTCAAAAAAAAGAAGCTTTATTATTTAACAATTTTTATAGTTTTATTTTTTTAATGACAACTTTACCAAAAAAAAATTTATATTATATTTATACTGTCTTCCACTGCCATTGTACACAAAAAGACATAAATTTTCTAATCAGTATTTTGTATTTTTTTTTTATATCAATGAAATAGTATTTTATATCAAAAAAATTTAATGTATTTATTTTATAACTCATCCATTTTATATATGTTGTTGCAAATTCTAAAATATTATTTTGACCTGCTAATAGTGAATTTTATTGTAAAATTTACAATCAGTTCAATAATAAAGTGTTTTTTTTAGTAAAATGATTTGCTTTTGTAAATATACAAGAATAGAATTATATTTATATAAGTATAATATTCTCTGCAATTTTTTGCATGTTTATTATGATATCCTTAATGTTTGGCATTTCAATATTCTGTTTTATTTGAGGGACAATCCATAAAGGGTCATTGGCAGATATAAATGGGTCCTTACCAATGAATTCTGAAATTTTTTGGGAACATATTGCAGAATGATTTGTAGTGATTGAAAGTCTATCAACATAGTGTATATTGGGCATTGATAAATAAAATGAATGTAACATTGTCCGATCAATTTTTAAATTATTTATCCTGTGCATTAAAGTATCAACAAGCATATATTTCCTAAATTTATAAAAGTTATTTGATGTCTCAAGATTGTCATGATTATTATAATGGTAATACGTATAATCTCCAACAATGGAATGTCCCAAATCCTTACAATGCAACCTTATTTGGTGCCTCCTACCTGTCATGGGTGAGCATATAACTTTTGTACAAGGGAAGTTATTGTAATAACCCCATTGAAGTGGATTAATCAATGTTAATGCAAATTTAGGGTTATTAGATCTAAATTTTGTTTTGAATTTCGATTTAAGTTGATTTTTATGTATGCAACCTACAGTTGTGATATGGTTAATTATAAGATTATTGAGTCTTTGACAATCATTAAGTTGGTCAATATCTTGAATTTTAAAATTTTTGCTGAGCATTTTACAATGAGGTTTTATGATGAGATCTTGATTAACCATACTATTTACTGATTTTAATTTTGAGGTGTCTAAATGCCCATAAACCAATGCCAAATAAAATTTTGAGACTAAACGATTGCGAAAGAGTTCTGATACTAATATAACCGACACAACATATAAGATTTTATATAAGTAACTTGCATTTATAAGTCATGTAATAATTTAACTTACATTTTACACTTGTTTTGTTATTTATGGCAGCACATAATAAACCACTAGTACCATAATCAATTCTATGTGGGAATCTTATTTTAAATCTCAAATCAGTATCCATCAAGTCAGGCCTCATTTTTGCCAAGTCTTTAGCTAAGGATTTTGAATTGTCATCATAGTTGGTTAACGCTATATTGCAAGGCTTGTTCACTATTATGTAATCCGTATTTTCATGTAAAATCAAATTATCTTCGGTACAATTATTTGTACGTTTATGTTTTATTTTTAGGAATTGGATTATTTTCCATTTAAGTTTGATTGGGAAATTGCTAAAAAATTGACCACGAAAATATTCCAAAAAGGCATACCAAATCATAAAATGACTAAAAATATTATACATTTTTTTGATATAAATTACAATATGAACTCTTTATAAGTAAAAATTTACGACGATATCATCATCTAGCAGAGTGGCGCAGTGGAAGCGTGCTGGGCCCATAACCCAGAGGTCGGTAGATCGAAACTACTCTCTGCTAATATTTTTTTGATTTTTTTTTAAAAAAAAATATTATATTTAGTAACAGATAAATATTATATTTAGTAACAGATAAATATTATATTTAGTAACAGATAAATATTATATTTAGTAACAGATAAATATTATATTTAGTAACAGATAAATATAAATTTCATATTATAATTTATTATAAAGGTGCGATATAGTGTAAAAATAAGGAAGGAAAGGGTGAATAACGAAGGTCTGTGGGTGGGTCGATTTTTTTAAACGTTCCGATTAAGATCTTAGCCAAAATAATATCATGTAAGCCTGGAGATCTCTTTCATAGATAGCAGAAAGGTGTGGACCCTCTATATGCCAAATCTCGAGGCATACATAATATTTTTTTTGTCTAAAATCGTCATCGGGCCATTTACACTAGTCTGAGAGAAGTGCCTAAGGATTAGATATAGCAAGCCTCTGTCTGAGGAAGAAGCCTTCTCGCGGATCACCAGTATGCTTGCTGATGTGAGATCCTAAATCCTTGTAGAAGGATAATGCAAGCTTACCAAAGGAGGTTAAGTTAATGGATATTATTGGGATAAAAATGTGATCCTCCATGACATTTCCTAATATTTGGTTAGGGGTTTGGTTTGATAGAGCTAATGGGTCTAAACTAGAATAGTCCCAAATCAAAAATTGGCCTTGTTTCCATGGGATCAGGGTGTTTGGGCGGATTGCAATGCTTGCTAGAACAAGGAATTGCATTGAATGTGCCTGATGATTTATCCTTTGCACGATCTGTAATGTAAGCTGTGTTTTCCTTTGCAGTCTATTAGGGATTCTGTAGCCAGAGCAGAAGTGTGTTATTGTACAATTGTGGCGGATTCCTATTTCGTGGGTTAGCTCATTATTGATTAGTTGGAGTAGAAGATTTTTGGAAGGAATGACATCCAAAAATTCATGCTTGTATGCATTAAATAATAAAGTGAAGAGAGAATGGTTTAGCATGCTAGATAAATGAGAAAACTGGCCTGCCCATTTTCTATGGAAAAGTCATTTTGTGAGGTGTGAGATGTTATTGTGGGTTTCGAAAGTAAACTGAATGTAGGCAGTGAGAGCAAGATCGGTGGGTGATCGAACCCCTAAACCACCACTTTTAGTGGATAATGAAGCTTGAGCCCATGCTGTTTCATTGAATTTTAGATTCAAAATATTTTTGGTTAGATCTTTTATTCCTGTTTCATAAATATTTAGAGGATCAGGATATTAAAAAAATAGGCGTTGAACGCAAGCATAAAATATACGTGGAATTGTAAATAAGTTTTAAGGAAAGAAGAACGATTTATGCGAGGATAGCAAGTTAAGGAGGTACCAAGCTTAAGAAGGATATCAAGGCCTTGAATCCGTCTACTGGGGAACATAGATGTGTTAACTACTCCCCTTTGGAGGTAATTTTTAAATTGTGAGGATTTTGACCAGAAATTACTTGTACAAATTGAGATATTGTAAGATTAATGGAACCAACTGCACATCCCATTTACCTGATAATGTGTATACCTTGTTTTAAAGAATTAGGCAAACGGATTCGTGAAAAACCGATCAGCCTAAGGAATGCCTTTTCCTACGACAAAGACTTGCTACCGCCAGTATTCACTCTAACTATCTAAGTTTTATCTCTTCAATTGAATAACTTTCCATGTCTCTATGCCTTCGCTCTTCCCTTCTCATTTCTAGTTTCCTTTTTTTTATCCCTTATCCTTTCAATATTTTTCACCATTATAAATTTTATATTTAAATAAAAAATTAATTATATGCTATTACATTTTTTACTATTGAAATAAAGTAACCTATGACAGGAATATTTTTTTTATTTAATTACATTAAAACTTATTATTGAATTTACAAAAAAGCAGAGTGGCGCAGTGGAAGCGTGCTGGGCCCATAACCCAGAGGTCGGTAGATCGAAACTACTCTCTGCTAATAATTTTTTTATTTTTTTTTATAAAAAATATATAAATATTTGATAACGCATAAATACAAATTAATTATTTAATTATATTAAAACTTATTATTGTGTTAAAAGGCATATATCATATGAATGATATGAATGGTAATTCTAATGATCTGCAAATTTCTAGGGATGCTTTCTGTAGAACTAGGAATAAGTTTTTTTGGGTCTCCTGTAAATTAGTAGTTATTTTTTTATAAACCTATTATCTTTTAAAAACGAAATCACTTGAAAGAACGTTGATATGATATAATCTAAATGATATGGATATTATCATTTTTAAAACAATTATCAGGGTGGGTAATTGGTCAATGTGTTGTCGATTTAGCCTAGTACACAGGCTGCAGGAAGTTGAGGGGGAGGGGTGGTGGTCGACTACAGTCTATGGTCCAGGAATTCTGAGGGTTATTACCCAACTCCACCAATATTACCAAGCTTTATATTCCCGGCTTTATCATATCCAAATTAAAAAGAGATATCCCGAAAAGACATATGAATCCCATAAACAATCTGAAAATAAACATAAGAAAAAAGGAAGATTAGCTGTTTATGGCAACCCTAAAATTTATTAATATGATGGAAATTGACACAGGGTCATCAATATATATCAATAGTAAAAATAACTTACAAATCTAACTTCAAACAAATACCTCTTCAAAAAACCAATATCATACTAAAATCCTTCTACATACACGGTATCCTTGGGGATGATTCAAAACATTAACATATCAATGAGAAACCTATATCTAAAATTTAATAGTAATCACCGATAAACGCTCTTCTATTTTTGGAAAAGATATAATGACGAAAATACCTAAAATCAACCGAGAAATAATTTCCAAAATACTTAGAAATATTTCTGCAGAAGTGGAAACAATCATAGCAGCTAGAACATAGAACCCCCAAAGTGGATTTTTCCACTACCAAATTAATTCCGAACAGACTACCGCTCTCATGGATAAACCACTTATGACCATAAACCTAAAACCAAGCTTTCCTGTCCTCACCTCAAAACTCTCAAATCTTAAAGATTAAGTCTTAACCGAAGATTGTCTTAAGCTCTTTGTTCTAAGGATAGCTGATATTTAAGCGGGGAGGAGTGTTGAATAGATTACACATCGCATATGACTATATATTGCTATTTCGATAGGACATCGGACGTTATTTTTTCCTTCATGCCATTTTTTTTGTTCTTGGGAATATGTATATGACTTTAAAAATTATCGAACCCATTGCGCATAAATTTGTTTGGTCTATTTAAAACTACGTTACCGTAGTATCCTCTCAACCCCCTTCCACTAGCCCATTTGACTCCGGGTAGCCGAATGCTAAGCGGGAAGGAGTTTTGTATTAATTCAAAGTTTTCTTCTTTTTTTAAAAAAAAAATTCCTACAATATTTCAATTTTTCTTTTGGTCTCTACAAAATATATGGTTTGGTCATCTACCAATAGAACTTCAGTGGAACATTGGCATCTATAATGAAGATATTTTAAGTTTAAAGCTTTCCAATCCACACTCCGCAAGACTCTCGAACGTGATCTACCCTCTGAGCCCCATATCAATTCTTTTAAGAATGATTCTTTTCAAGTGTCATTGACGTATACCTAAAACATTATGTCAAGCTCTACATATCCCTTAATACCAAAATTTATTATCAACAGATGATAATTATAATTGATATGTGATATACAACAATAATCCTTTATCAATTCAAATTCAATTATGATTTTAAGACAAATAATGCCATTACCTATCGTATAATAGTTTCAATATTCAAATCCAACTGTCATCGTATATTTAACCAGATGAGCCTCTAAGAGATTGTGGAGCAGCTTTTTATTATACTCTTGTTAGCATCCGTCACCATGAACCGCCGCTTCGTAGGTATATTGCTTAAAGACTTGGCGAGGATCAGAAGTTATTCTGATATGGTAGTTATTTAACGAGACCAAGTTTGTATTTTTGTTTGCATTGGCCAAAATCTTTCTCATATTTAAATTAGGGCAGTGCCCTTAACTTTCTTAATTGGTGTAAAAGTAGAGTTTTATACTGGGGCAAATGCTTAGCTAAACTATCCATGAAGAAATAAATAGTATTGACATATATTTTTTATAAAATAGAGAAAAAACCCGACACAAAATAAAAATTATTTGACGGCCCGGTGTAGCATGATACATTAACTCCCCACATCACATCACATTACATCACATCACATACTGAGTTAAGATATCACTATGATACATTAACCCCCCCCCCCCCCCCACTTTGTCAAATAGTGTTAAGGGGGAAGATTAATAAAAAAATTGATATAGGCAGTGTCAACATGAGCGGGTGGGGGGGAGGGGGGTAGGAACAGTTTGCATCCTAATATCTATGAAGGGGTAGGAGGGTAGGTAGTAGGGGGTAGGCATTTTGGGGGGTAGGCTCTAATAATCTAGAAAATTTTCCATTACATTTTTAAATTATCTATGGATAACATTTTGGTATTTTTAGGGAGGTAGATATATATTTTTGAGGGGGGTTTGCATCCAGTGAATATACTGTCATCAGTGGCGTAGCTAGGAATTTTCCTTAGAGGGGGTCCATACATATAAAAGCTGGGGGCTTCGCCCCCAGACCCCCTTTAATCATAACCATATCTTCGATAATATATAATAAATATATTTTTTAAAGGCATCAATAATATGTTATTATAATTTAGTAGATTATTCTCAATGACTTTATAATAATACCATCCAGAATAATTTCAATAGTAATATAATTGATATAAAATCACTTTTAAGTCTTTTGAACGTATAATCTAAAAAAAAATTTGCTCTGGGAGGGGTCCAAACCCGAAAACCACCCCCGTAGCTACGCCACTGACTGTCATGTAGACGCTGGATATAGGGATATGATCTTGCAGTTTTTTTTATTACTAATTCTTGTAAATTTAATATTAAATTATATTATAACGTCAATCATAAATGTCAGTATTACTAAAGGGATTTAATATTAAGTTAAAATATCGCGTACCACCCACCCGGAATTATTTTAAACCTTTTTTTTTATTTTATTTATAATTATATATATATATATGTAAAATACTATTAATTATAGGCATTTTAATAGTTTATAATAACTAACCCTAACCCAAATAAAAATCTAATAGTGTAGGAAAAAAAACCCCTGTTTACAGATTCAATTTCCTTTATTGTTTCAACCATTTTTTCCACTTTGAATCATTGCTAAAAAAAATTAATCTACTCATAATATTTTAATATTATTCTGGCGTATACTCAGATGAGAAACAAAATTAATAAATTATTTATTTTTGGAACTCTTTTTTTTTAATAGAACGACTCTTTTGTAAATTGTGATATATCGATATCTCCTTATTTAGATACCTACTATATAGAGAAGAGAAAAAAAGATATAAACGGGCGAATGATAAAATTATTCTTATTCTGTATGTTACAACTAGGCGAATTTATCCAACCATCAGAAGACGTGTGCCTAAAACGTTATTTATCTAACCTAAATGAGTCTGAAATAAAACCTGATAATATACCTTTTACACTTCATATTATGACTATCACTGATGTCATCGATTTGGATACTCCCATAAGAATAGTATCGGAAATGTTTCAATACGAAAATACATATGTAAAACGATATGTCCACTATAATTATTATGTCGCGAGAGTCAAGGATAATTTAAAATCATTTGTGTTTGGCAGTTTGGATAGAGGTAAAAAGGACATCCTTTTTGACGGAATCATATACATGACTGGCAAGATGCATTTTGTAGATGGGGGTATAATCTGGGGACCTAAGAGAGCAAACAAATGGGACATGTTGAAAACGAGTTCTTTAGCCGATAAATGGGGGATGAGTAAATGGGAACTGGAAGAGAAATATTTATATTATACAGAGGACGATATAGAACCACGGTCTTACCATAACGATTCCATAAATATAAATAAGCATGATAAACCCAGTTTTATTGAAGTATGGAGGCAACAAATGAACGTTCTAGAAGGGGTGACTAGTAAACGGCAATACACTAACGAATGGTACACTAAAATTAAAAAGGTGTGTACAATTAATGTATATTTAGATGCTTACCTCATGGAGAAAGTTTATAATTACAATATCAAGAAGGCCATCCATGAACTAATTATTCTGTACGGATCCCTAGATTTTCTTTACCGAATTATTGATTTTTACGGAGTTGGGAAGGCTAATCATTTCGGATTTCAAATAGCTAAAATAACGGTTGACAAGAATAAGAAAAGTGATGAGGTCTTAAGTGAGAAATACGTGAGGTTCATATCATCGCTAAATTTAGGAAATGATAGGTGCTTGGGTGTCAGCTTCACGTATCAAAAGTTGGAGGGATTTATCGGGAAGGGTTTCCACGGGACAGAAGATAGTGGTATATTCATAGACAATAAGGACGAAATATTTATAAGATACAATTGGAACGTGGCATACGTCAATTACATGATACCCGACACGCGAACAATCAGGAAAAGAGGTGGCATCCTGAATATTTTAGCCCACGAGGTGGGCCACATTTTTGGAGCCGTTCACGAGCAAGAGACTAGTTGTTATAGGCATAATAATTTGTTGATGACGATACGCATGACAGAAGCCAACAGATTCGACAACTTCCAGTTTAGCAAATGCAATATTAAGTTAATGAAAAAGATTATCGAGATGCGAATCGACAAGTTCGTAAAGTGTCCTCACATTTTGAGCGAATATTACAAATACATTGTTTATCCATAAATATAGATGATAAGGTTAATTTATTCAAATCTCCGCCGATCTGAGGCATGATCGCGACATTACATTTTATTTATGGTAATCGCCATTTTTCTAATTCTTTTTAGACAATTAAGGCCACGCGTATAGTAACCGCAACTATAATGCCATGCCGCCTTCCATCACAGTGCGTAAAAATATAAAATCGTGTAAATAATAATG